GAAATGCCTAACGCTTGACAAAAACATAATTGCTATCTATTCCTTCCAGACATAAATAAGTTGAAGCCGGGTGTACATGTAAGCCAAAGACCTTCTAATCATAATGCCACGGCCTTGTTGTTAATAAAGAGTCCATCAACAATTTGTAAACATTGCAATTCAAATCTATGCTTTTCGTTTAAATAAGATGAAATTTAAATCTAAATCCTACCAAAAACTGCCTTCAGAACATATCAACGTTAAAAGGAATAAAGAAGATCAACGACCACTTAAGTATAATAACAATTATTCATCAATTTTAACGATCAATTAAGTCTGAAAATAAACTGATATATGAAACTAAGGTGACTAAAAGTAATATAAAAAGGATCATGATCAACAAAGGAATTAGTCTAGGAATAGGTAGATACGGTTGATGCAGTTACTCATAATTTGAATTCGAATCCGTATCCGACTTAATCAACATCACCATGCAGACCATTTTCATCTCCATGTAATAACTTCTAACAATGGCCATTGAAGATTATTTAATAAGAAAAACATATTTATGACTCATTTTATTTCATGTATAAATTCACAGGTCCCGTGTCACGGTAGGCGCTTCATAGCAATACTGAATACTGCTATGTAAATAAAACAATAATCGGATCAAAACAATGCCATTCCTTTTAATATCTTTTTCAATTACCATGTAATATAAAAGAACATTTTGTTGACCATAGCTTTTATCTAACAAGCCATGAACTTTAGAAGTTATACGTTATACTTACTTGGAGGCTGGTCCTCCGCAGCCTGATTCCCATTATTATCTGAAATTAAAATTTGTACTTAGTACGGAAGTTTCTAGTAGATATATTAAGCACATCGTATCTTAAGTGCTTTATTTTCTGTCATATATAGACTCTGAACTTATCCATTCTTTCTTTGAAAAATTATTTACCCTTCAATTGTCTTAAACTCAAAACGTATGGAAACGTAAATAGATACCAGTAACAATATGATAAATCATCAATGTGAAGGAAGCATAAAATATTCATAATGAAGCATTAAAAAAACTAGAAAGCTAGTAAGGATTATTCTTGAGAAGATGAAAAAAAGTTAGTTATCTCGTTATAAAGAGATGATTTTCTTGATATATCAAATGCAATAAATACTCAGAAAAGGTATGGGCCAACAATATTAAATTTAAACTTTGTCTTGTAAAAAATGCACATTCTTTTTAATGTAGCAGCAGATTCCAAAAAAACTACAAAATAAGTAGAGACAAGTATATCTTTTCAAATTGAACGATGTAAGGCAATTGAAATAATGAAATTTGTTTATGAACCCCATGAAATTAAAAGAATGTGCATTTATTACAGGAATGTCCAAACAGGTAACCAAACTAATTTCATTACGTTATTTTAGTAAGTATTAAATACATATGAAAATATATAAAGCTAAACCAAAATTGATACTGTGTAAATTTTATAGCCTTCATATCCTGTTTTTCATCATATTATGCAGGAATACTGTTGCGTAACTAAGCATAAGTGAAACATTTAAAAGCTATGCTTTTTAAAAAATCAAATAATTTATACAAGCTATGTACGTTAGAAATATACTTACTTGGTGGCTGACGGTCCGCAGCCTGATTCCCATTATTATCTGAAATTAAAATCTTTGTACTTTCTACATATAATTCCAGTGTTAATTATTTTTGGTGCCTTTAATCTGTTAAATATAAACATTGAATTGATACATTAATATTTGCTTTGTTTTTCTAGTAAGCCAACAGTGAAATTGATTTGAATACCATTTTCGTATATACTTACACGTAGAAATATACATGAAGACACGTGCGCTAACGTGAACATTGAAAAATGCAAAGAAGTAGGACAGCGAGAAATTCAAATATTGAATATATTTTTATGCTTAAGACATGCAAAATGTAGTGCATTCATGAAATATGCCTACATAACAAATCTGTGTGAATCACAAACCATTACATGTAACTCACAGAAAACGTAAGAAACGATCCTTAATTTCCCCATAAATTAATTCCATTTAACGAGGCCGAGTCTAATTATTTCTGCCCTAGGGATTTTGATAATATATTGATAATTAATTTTTACTGTTATAATTATTGTTTTAAAATTAAAAAATCTGTTTAAATGTATCACATTTTTTCAACATTTTTCGTATTTCTGCCCTAGAGATTTCTTTTTCATTCAAGTAAATGAAAGTAAATGTAAAAAGTCACCAAACTGTGAAATTTCAAAAAAGTTCACCATCTCGATTGGTCTAGGTCGAAGCCAAATACCTCTAAAATTGCCATATTACGGTAAAAATACATATCTATGGTGACGTTGTTAGAGCCATTTCAACGTTCTTTTCAAAATAATTGTCGTAATTTCCCAAATAATGTTAATTTTGTAATAAAATTAAAATAATTAATGACATAAATTAAATCAGATGCAAATAATGTTAATTTTGTAATAAAATTAAAATAATTAATGACACTCCATTTAAGTTCCTTTAATCTCAAAAGATAGTTTGAATCATAAATAATTCAGAGTGTTATATATTATTGATTAATAAAATTAAGGGTATTTTTAATGAAAATGAAAAGGTCTGCTCCTTGTCAGGATCAGTAAATAACGGAAAATCCGTCGTCAATTTAGTGTATAAATAATGGACTAACAATAAGTATGAGAAACGTCAGTCAGCATTTGACTCAATGATAATTTGTATTTTCTGACAAGGTCATTGTATTGACCATAGAACTCACGAAATGATGACTTTAAACTAGACTGCTGATATTCTTCTTTCATCAACTTGCTTGTCAATAATTTACCTCGTTTTAGAAATTGTTCATACATAGAGCTAGCTCTTGAGAATCGAATCATCTGAAATATATACACTCTGTATGCAGGTGATGAAGGTATATTGCCGCATCAGTAAGGGAAGTTGACGATATTATGTAATATTATTGTAAATAATATGTTTTATGCATTCATTTATAATTTTACATTTCTGTGGTTAGAATGTAGTGTTTGTAATATATTTTTGTATATCACAGGTTTCAGAGTTAACAAATTTAGGTAATGCATAGGCTCGGGTTTCGGGGTTTTGCGGTAATTAGACGTTAGATATTGTCACAGATGTCACGTGATTGTTATCACTGTTAGATGCAGCAAGTGTTGGTACACGTTATTTTTTGTACGAAAAGCATCGCAATTACGGATTATTAATCTTGATTCAACACCATATAATTATTGCATTTGCGAGCGTAAGACTTATATGCACAGTTGATATCAAAAGTAAGTGATCAGTTTTTGGATTTACTTTGTGACTGTTTTTCGACTCCATCGGAGCCTGGGTACATGCGGGGTGTTCAAAATGGCGGACAGAACGAAGGTGGCGATAATTGGCCATTCATATATTAGAAGACTGGACAAATTTATGAGTGAAAATACACAATACAAAAATCTGTGTTTGGACCGTGACAAATTTTCGGTGGTGATCCGGGGGCAAGGTGGGCTAACAGTTCAACGATTGGCGACATCGACACTATGCACTTTCCACACAGTCCCAGACATTTGTTTTGTGCAAATTGGGGGTAATGACCTTTGTTTTGATCCCCCCGCAAAGATTATGAGGAACATAATTTCTTTGGCGAACTTTCTTATTCACGGGGTAGGTGTCAAACACGTAACGTTAATCATCGGACAACTCATCAGACGGGACCCTCAAAAATCGCCACCTGGCTACAACAACGGGGTTATTGAGGTCAACCAGCTCCTGAATTCGGCATCTGGATCCCTACCAAATGTAACCTTTTGGAAGCACCGGGGGTTTTGGGCTAACCTTCAGTACCTGGGGCCTGATGGAGTTCACCTATCTACAAAGTCACGCAGTACAGGTCCAGTACCGATGGTCAAATACCTTAATAGTATCAAATATGCGGTGGTCAACACTTGCAGGAGGCTAAGGCCAGTATTAATAAATTTGAAGTCACATATTATTATTATAATAATATGAACATAAATCATGTAAAATGATGCATATGTATAGGACATAAGTCAAATATCTAGTAAGAGATTCAGAGATATTTCTGTTCAAAACATGCAAGTGGAGTAAAATAATAACAATTTATACATTTGTTTTAGATATAAACTCCGTTAGAGACTGCAGTGCAATATACATGATGTCAAAGTTTTCCATGTTACTGTCTCGAAGTTACCGGTTCGCAAAGTGAACTAGCAGTATACATGATGTCAAAGTTTTCCATGTTACTGTCTCAAAGTTATTAGTTCGCAATGTGAACTTGCAGTATACATGATGTCAAAGTTTTCCATGGTACTGTCTCAAAGTTATCGGTTCGCAAAGTGAACTAGCAGTGTACATGATGTCAAAGTTTTCCATGTTACTGTCTCAAAGTTATTAGTTCGCAATGTGAATCTGCAGTATACATGATGTCAAAGTTTTCCATGTTACTGTCTCAAAGTTATCGGTTCGCAAAGTGAACTAGCAGTATACATGATGTCAAAGTTTTCCATGTTACTGTCTCAAAGTTATTAGTTCGCAATGTGAACTTGCAGTATACATGATGTCAAGGTTTTCCATGTTACTGTCTCAAAGTTATTGTTTTGCAATGTGAACTTACAGTTTGCATGGTGTCAAAGTTTTTCATTTTAGTGTCACAAGGTTGTTTTTATGCTATCTTTTAACACATGATCAAGAGTTAGGCATGGCCTTTTTATTCTATAACAGCTTGATTAATCACTAAAATGTAACCGATATGTTTGTATCACTGAAGATATTCATAGTAATGATTTGAAGCGACTGTTGTGAAAATCTGAAAATCATGTAATAATTATCAAAGTATGCAATTATGAAAGGCGGTATCTAATATGTTGATGAGACCTTTCAATATAACATCAATAGCAACCAGAAGTAGTTTGCTTAAAATATGAAGCTATATATTCTAAATACACACAATTCTTTCAGTTTCAACCATGCCAAAGAGACAGCCAGCCACAGACGAAACCCTGAGGAGGGGAAAGAAAAGGAAAAACCAAAGTGAAGTGTCAAAACCGGCGGAGCATCCAACCCTGCAGATCGATTATGAAAAACTTGCAGCTGAAATTATAAAGCAACAGGGCAGTAGCCAATCTCCCATCACTAACGCTGAACAAGTGGCTCCTCAGGACGTGCAAGTTTCAGATAATGCTCCTTCCACCGAATCCAGTGTGCATGATGCCGGTCCTTCTTCAGATGCTACAAGCAACATATCAGCATTACTTAATCAGCTATTGAGTTCAGGTGAGCCAGCAACCCCAAAAGTGGCAAATAGCATATCCATCACTGATGGGATTCCCCTCGGTGCAACAGTAGCACAACGCATAAAACAAAAAATCTGGGAAGATCAGTATTTAGATTTGCCTGTGCTGCTGCAGCAGCGAGAGGATCCAGTATCTTTAAATATTGCTGCCGGATCAGTTACAATACAGCAAAATGCAACAAAGCCAAAAACGCCTCTGTCAATTAATCAGTGGACAGATGCGTTTTTGATATTCACAGCAATATATTTGGAAAAGTCCCCAAGTGAAGCCCTGCATTTGTTAAAATATTGCTTTTTCATAAGGGAAATGCACAAAATGCTAGGAGAAAAGGCTTGGAGAGTCTATGACGAAAATTTTAGACAATTAAAAGAAACAGTTAATGTCCCCTGGCAAAAACCCATTGAAGAACTTAGAGTAAAAGCTGCTACAGGCACCTATGTTAATAACACTGCCCAACAGCCCTTTCGAAAAATGGCAAGCAGATCACAAATCCGTTTCTGCTATGCCTTTAACAATGGGGATAAATGCTCAAATGACCAGTGCCCCTTCTCTCATACATGCCAAACATGCAACGAAAACCACGCAAAAACAAGTTGTAGAGAGGGTAAAAGAAATCAATCATCAAATTTTAAACCCAGAGCTTCAACAACCACAGGGGGGGCTTCAACTTCCAACAACAGTCAACCCAAACAAATTAAGTGAATTTCTAGCCCATTATGATAGATCTCTTTCAAACTATTTGGTGCAGGGTTTTAAACAAGGTTTTCGCCTGGGTTGTGTCATAGATCCTATCATATCCCGTATGTCGAGAAATCATAAATCAACAATGGAGCACCCAAATATTATCAATGAATATATAGAAACAGGTCTAGAAAAAGGTAGAATTGCTGGACCATTCCTTACACCCCCATTAGATCGCTTTATTGTATCACCCCTCGGTTTAGTGCCAAAAGGTAATTCAGGTAATTTCAGAATAATTCATGACCTGTCTTTTCCTAAAGACCAATCCGTGAATGCCAACATTCCAAAAGAGCTCTCTGCTGTGCACTATGATTCAATTGATAATGTTGTAGGTTTGGTTCAAAAATTTGGTAAAAATAGTTTAATGGCAAAGTCCGACATCGAAGATGCCTTTAGGATAGTTCTAATTCACCCTCTAGATCACCATCTGTTAGGATTTCATTGGGAAAATTCATTCTATTATGACATGTGTTTACCAATGGGGGCAAGTAGCAGTTGTCAAATTTTTGAATCATTAAGCTGTGCACTACAATGGATAATGGAAATCGTTTTTAAAGCAGCGGGGGTTTCTCATATCCTAGACGATTTTTTCTTTGTGGGCCCACCAAATTCATCAAAGTGTAGGGATGATCTAGTTAGTTTCTTATTCTTGTGTAGGCAAACTGGGATTCCTATTAAGATGCAAAAAACACAGACACCAACAACTAAAAAAATTATCTATGGGATAGAAGTAGATACAGGGACAATGGAATACAGACTTCCATATGAAAAAGTTGTCAAGATTAGAGAAATGTTAGATCACTTAAAAAAGTGCAAAAAAGTCTCATTAAAAGAATTACAGTCAGCCATAGGTCTTCTTAGCTTCGCGTGTGGGGTAGTAGTACCTGGTAGGGCTTTCTTAAGGCGTTTAATCAATCTCACATGTGGTTTCGATGATTCTAAACGATATGTTAAGCTAGAAAAGGAAGCGAGAGCTGACTTAGCTACCTGGTCATATTTCATAGACCACTTTAATGGAAAGTCTGTTTTCCTAAATAAAGAATGGATGTCTTCAGAACACCTAAATCTCCAAACTGATGCGTCAGGGTCTCATGGTTTTGCTGCAGTTTTGGGTTCAAAATGGTTTGCGGAGACATGGCCTGATGCCCTTATACATTATCAAATTTGCATCAAAGAACTTTTTCCGATTGTTATTGCATTAGAATTATGGGGGCATGAACTTCAAAACAAAAAAATATTGTTTTTATCTGACAGTATGGCAGTTGTAGAAATCATAAATAAACAGACATCTAAAGAACATAACCTCATGAAATTGCTACGTCGGCTTGTATTAGTAGCAATGCAGTGCAATATACACTTTAGAGCAAAACATGTTTCAGGAAAATCCAATGTACTTGCTGACAGACTCTCTCGTTTAAAATTTCAGGAGGCTTTCAGGGAAGCTCCATTCTTAGACAAACATCCAACCCATGTTCCTTGCCAGCTTTTGCACATTTAACACCAATGGCCCGGAATCTAATACAGGCTTCTATCAACCATGCAACAAAAAAAGCATACCTACATACATGGAACATGTTGCAGCATTGGTCACCAACAACACTTGATCTTCCATTAAAGACAAGCACCATTTGTAATTTTTTGGCTCATCTTTACGAAAACAAATATTCACCAAGCACATTGTCATCACATGTTTCGGCCATTTCATTTGTTCATAAAATTTTGAATTTGCCGGACCCATCTCAGAATTTTCTTGTTCAGAAATTGTTAAAAGGGTGTCAAAAATCTGGCCAGGGAGCAGACTCGAGGCTCCCTATAACCGGGGAAATTCTTTTAAAACTAATACAGGCTATGTCATACAAGCGCCACTTGGAGTCACCGAATTCTGTTAAGAGCATTGTTTCTTACAGCATTTTTTGGATTTTTTAGATTGGGAGAATTAATTGTTAGGACACCGCAATCTTTGAATCAAGTGTTGCAAAGGTCAGACATTTATTTTGAAACTGAAAAAGGGAAATTAAAAAGCGTAAGTTTAATTTTGCGTCGCTCCAAAACTATACAATCTGGTCAGGCAGTTACCATCTGCCTAGAGGCCCAGTCTGAAAAAGAACTCTGTTCTGTGTTTGCCCTTTTTGATTACCTGCGCCAATTCAAACATTCAAAAGGGCCCCTTTTTCAATTCATTGATGGTACTCCAGTTTCAAATTCATTTGTTTCAAAACATTTAGAAGCAAGTATTACATTCATCGGTTTGAATCCAAAATTGTACAAAGGTCATAGTTTTCGCATTGGGGCAGCAACTCATGCAGCCAGGTTAGATTTTTCTGAAAATGCAATTCAACGTATGGGTAGATGGAAATCCGATGCAGTTAAGAGATATATAAGGACAGGGTCTTTTACACTTTCTATTCAATAGTTTGTCTTTCCCCACCATTGATTGAATTGATATCGATACAACATTAAACACCTGCTTATATAGATTTTTCTGAAATTAATTTTGGATAAATCATTTTATTCTAGTCATCTTCATATAGGTTGTCCCTTATTTAGCTTTAAATGGGTCATATTATGTCTGCCATCTTTCTGTAGATTGTCCCGTGATAAGCGGTCCATGGGTCAGATTAGGTAGGTTATGTCCATGTAGGTTGTCCATAGATACACACAGGTCAGATTATGTCTGCCATGTTCATGGGTATTGTCCCTAGGTCAGCTAAAACTCAGCTTTAGATGGTTCAGATCATGTCTGCCATCCGCCCAGGTTAGCTTCTGATGGTTCAGATTAGGTCTGTCATCCCCTCTCCCCCTACCCTTTATTACACCTGAGTTATTTTTAGACATGTGCAAGGGATTATAAGAGTGTAAATAACGATTTCGAGTATGGAATAAAGGACTCAGATATTTGGAATGTGTACTGTGAAGTATTTGTATAGATAAAAAAAATACTCTCTGTAATGTAATTAACTGTAATTAACATTTGTTGATATGTTGTTCTGTTACATTTGTGCAAATATTTCAAACCCATGTTCTGAAAATATTGTTTATCATATATGCAATTTAAATGTTAAAAGGGGTTGCTGGCCACCATTTATTTTTCAGGTATATAGATCTATCATCTTTTATTACAAACACAGGTATTAAGGTGTGACTCCCTTTTTGTCCATGGATGTCCATGAGTTGTTTCCCTTGGGTGGCGGAAAATCCAATGTAGTTGGATTTTTGTTGGCCTATTGTTTGTTGCCACCTTATTTTTCAGCTTAAATGTTGATAAATTTGTGTTTTTGAGTATTGTCATGATGTTATTTTAATTTTTGGGAGATCCATAACATGGTGTAGATACTAAGTGTAGAGAGTCATAGGATCTCCCAAATTTCATGTGTTTCATTTATGTCATCAATAAATGACATATCTACAACAATACTCATACTTGTTTCTTCATTTAATCTGAATAATAACAGAGCTGCGGGAAACTCAGTTTTAAATTGGCTTTATTATCATATGGAAAGCATAATGTAATATTATTGTAAATAATATGTTTTATGCATTCATTTATAATTTTACATTTCTGTGGTTAGAATGTAGTGTTTGTAATATATTTTTGTATATCACAAGTTTCAGAGTTAACAAATTTAGGTAATGCATAGGCTCGGGTTTCGGGGTTTTGCGGTAATTAGACGTTAGATATTGTCACAGATGTCACGTGATTGTTATCACTGTTAGATGCAGCAAGTGTTGGTACACGTTATTTTTTGTACGAAAAGCATACCCTCCACCACCCCGTACAACCATCCCTTAGGTTAAGCTTTAATTTGGGATGTATTTCATACTTTAGTTTGTTTTGTGGCCTATTGTTTGTTGCCACCTTATTTTTCAGCTTAAATGTTGATAAATTTGTGTTTTTGAGTATTGTCATGATGTTATTTTAATTTTTGGGAGATCCATAACATGGTGTAGATACTAAGTGTAGAGAGTCATAGGATCTCCCAAATTTCATGTGTTTCATTTATGTCATCAATAAATGACATATCTACAACAATACTCATACTTGTTTCTTCATTTAATCTGAATAATAACAGAGCTGCGGGAAACTCAGTTTTAAATTGGCTTTATTATCATATGGAAAGCATAAATATATTTTTTTTTTAAAGAAAATGTAAATTGTTGCATAATATAATTCCATATATTTGTAAACTGTGGTTTCATTAAATTTGACTGGTATAAATTTTTGTCGATTTTGTAAAACGGAAGTTTTCAAGGATGCGTAATTTCGTGGACAAAAGCATTGCCTAAACAAATGAATAACAAATTTCTTAATTGAATGAACATTGAGTTTCGTGGATCTGCTCGAAAATTGGTGCTCAACGAATATTGATGAAACTACAGTAAATTCATTATTCATTCACAAAAAAACACTTTTTATACATGTACAGACTTTCGTTAAATTCGGCCTTTGTTAAATGAAAAATTTTCATGTTTATCTTCCCCTTCCATCATGACAGATTATAATAAGGTAACATATAAGTCGCAATTTGTGCAGCATGGTTGCTACAGGGCAAAAATGGTAAGATTTTGATTGATTTTTGTGCTCTGTGTAGTGTCCCTTTAGTGTCCCTTTCCAGAATGTTCATATGCTAGAGTGGAATCTTATTTGTGTTATTGCATAATTACATAGGGCCTTGGGTTTTAATGTACTATCCGAAAATCCTGTAAGTTTCACTTTGAAATGCCTAACGCTTGACAAAAACATAATTGCTATCTATTCCTTCCAGACATAAATAAGTTGAAGCCGGGTGTACATGTAAGCCAAAGACCTTCTAATCATAATGCCACAGCCTTGTTGTTAATAAAGAGTCCATCAACAATTTGTAAACATTGCAATTCAAATCTATGCTTTTCGTTTAAATAAGATGAAATTTAAATCTAAATCCTACCAAAAACTGCCTTCAAACATATCAACGTTAAAAGAAATAAAGATGATCAACGACCACTTAAGTATAATAACTATTATTCATCAATTTTAACGATCAATTAAGTCTGAAAATAAACTGATATATGAAACTAAGGTGACTAAAAGTAAGATAAAAAGGATCATGATCAACAAAGGAATTAGTAGGAATAGGTAGATACGGTAGATGCAGTTACCCATAATTTGAATTTGAATCCGTATCCGACTTTATCATCATCACCATGCAGACCATTTTCATCTCCATGTAATAAATTCTTACAATGGCCATTGAATATTATTTAATAAGTAAAACATATTTATGACTCATTTTATTTCATGCATAATTCACAGGTCTACCAATAAATATACTTTTTATAAAATAAAAGTTTTTGTAGATTTTTCTTATTGTATTGACCTTCAAATGCACTGTTACATGTAACAGTGAATATTAATCAAATGTAAATGGGAGGAAGAGTATCTAATCTCAATAGAGTACAAATACAAAAAATAAAACATTCATAATGAATCACTTTTTAAAAATGACGGATTAATCTTGACAATATGAAAAGAACCTTAATCTCATTTTATCGAATTTGTTATCTCTTTATAAGGTGATAATTTTCTCGATATGACAAATATTAGAAATAATAGGTAAAGATAACACTGATATATGTATCAGTATGGGTCCAATAGCATAAACGTTCGACCTGGAAAATGCGAATTCTTAGTAAAGTACAACACATTACAAAAACGACGTGTTTTGTACACATAGTTTAATGTACTTCACGTAGTATGTATTTATTACGTATACTTGACTGTCCAACAAGTGATTAAACTAATAAAAAAGAGTTTGGTATATTATGTTATTTTAGGGAGAATTAAAGTTATATGGAATTAAAACAGCTTAACTAACAACAAATCACGAGATTTTACCAAAATCAACAGCTTAAAATCTTTCGATTTTTCAACTTTATACACAACCATTCCCCAGGCCACGATAAATTATAGTCCAGGCTTTTTGATATCATTGACAGCTGCTTTTTCAATAAAAATGGAACTCGTAAATTTACTTACATGGGCATTGGTCATTTGCAAAAATATTTTGTCAAAACACATTCTGATTGCACACACAAGTACTCTGAAGTTGGTATAAAAAAGATGCTTGAGTTTCTGATGGACAATATCTACGTGGATTTTGGAGACGTGGTATTCCAACAATCTATTAGAATTCCCATGGGTACCTATTGCGCTCCTTTATTAGCAGACCTATTTTTTGATATTCATATGAAGCAGAATTTGTGCAAAATCTTATACAATGTATCTTGTTTCTGTCATTTTGATTAAAATCACCACCGATGACGTACAATGTGTACATCAAGTAACTTGGGATTTGATCATGTCGTGTAAAGATAATTTGGCTTAGACGGCATGTACGAAGATACGTTAAGTGGAGTTTAAAAGCAAATATTGTGATTATCATGTGAAATTCAAATGGAGTTCAGTTGATGAAACAGGAATGCTAATTTATTTTCATCGATTATATTCTCTTTTGAAGACAG